AGGAATTCTTGCCATTTGCAACAGCATGTTTGGAACTGGAGAGCATTATGCTAAGTGAAATAAGCCAGTCAGAGTAAGATAAATACCACATGATCTTACTCATTTGTGGAATATAAAGAACAACATAGACTGATGAACAGGGACAGATCCAGAGACAGAGAAACAGCGATCAGACTGTCAATCCCCAGAGGGAAGGTAGGCGAGGGTGGGGGTAAAGGGGAGAGATCAACCAAAGGACTTGTATGCATACATATAAGCCAAACCAATGGACACAGACAATAGGGGGATGAGAGCAAGAGTGGGGGGGGAGGGGTTGGGGGTTAATGGGGGGATGAGGACACATTTGTAATACCTTAACCAATAAAGAAATTAAAGATAAAAAATAAATAAATTTTTTAAAAAAGAAAAAAAGAATGTTTACATATTTGTAATAACAGAGCACTAGAGGCAATCAAAATGGCCATCAATAAAAAGAATGGATAAATTAAGACGTATCAGTCCAATGAAAGCACAGTTGTTGAAAATCACATTTTCAAAGACCATTTAGTCACTTGGAAAATGTTTACGAATACCAGTTAAGTGGAGTGAGAAAAAGCATATAAAATATCATTTCAATAATTTTCAAAAGAAGAAAAAATATATATACAAAAAATTGGAAAGAAATACATTGAAATATCAATAATGATTTATTTGTTGTGTAGTGGTTGTTTTCTTCTCAATATCTTTCTGTATTTTCCAGCTTTTGTGTAGTGACTAGTTATGGCTCTTTCTATTTGAAACACAGTGATAAATTTTTTTTTAAAGAAAAGACAAGGAATTTGTCTCATGTAGAATGAAAATAGAGGAGTCCAGGCCAGCAATGGCCTGGCTGCTGAGGAGGACTCACATGATGGAAGACTGAGTCCAGTGTCTGGAGTGAATTTTGAGCTACATTCTCTTTTGCAAAGTAGTTTGGTATAGTCGATGCCAAGGAATTTGGATCTAGGAGAAAGTCATTTTCACTAGATACTACTTTCTGCTACATTCAAGGATAACAGATTATAGGATCTGGGACACAGTTGAAATGATGTCTTCACTGCTCTTGGGTTGAACTCATGCTTGCTGCCTCTGTGTATAATCCCCCCACCTTACACATACCCTTACCCCATCACACCAAGCAGACAGACTGCAGTCATGACTACGGGCTTCGGACAGATGGTGGGCTCCTTTCTGGCATGAGAGACAACACCCAGGGTCAATGCTTCTATGGGGTGATTTCAAAGCCTTCTTTGGCCAATGCTCTGAGAGCTCCAGAAAATGCCAGGAAACAAATGTTTTTGGCAGAGAGATGTCCTCCTCACAGATTTCAGTGAATCCTGGTCAGAACTCTCTCTGATAAGATTAGAAGACTTGCAGTTAGGCCTCTGGCCTAGAGTCAAACCTTTCCAAATGTCCTTGAAATTTTCACACCACATGCTTTGGTGAGTTAGGGAGTGGCGCCAAAGATCTCAGATGAAAGTCAATTTAGACAGACCAAAACAAAAAAATTAAAATAATGATACTTACAATACTAATAGCAATATCAAAAGCCAAAACACCAATGCTGACCATAATTATGGTAATTATTTTCATTAACACCTTGACTTGCCATGCATTTTCCTAAGTTGCCCACACCATTTCACATCTATTACCTTACTTACTCTGACAGAATCTCAGTTTTACATTTTTAAAAAATACCATTTCAGAGGCGGGAGGAAGCTTTAAAGTTCTCATGAAAATCAGGCGCTTTTTGAGTTAAAAACAAAACCCTGAAGTCTTCATGTGGTGTTTTCCAACTGAGTTCTTGACAAGAAATCAGGGGATTTCAGCATGAGAAATTACGAAGCCCTATTACCATGAATTCTTAGCTTTGGGGACTATGATGTGGCCTTATTGCAAAATTCTCTAAAGGGAGCAATAGAAGATTTATAATGCTGACCCAGGGTAAGAAGGGGGCTTGTACTTTTGTGCTATAAAAACTATAAAACCTCTGGGGGTAAAAAAGAACCGCCTGGTCCGTGGGCATGGCCTGTTAGCTGCTACGCTCAGTCCACATCTGCTCACCGTGAATCAACGAGTGCAGGCTAAGCCCCTTGGATGATCAAGGTTCTGAAAAGACAATGGTGCCTCAAATTTGAACTCTACTCCTCATGTGGAATTAAAAGTTTAAAAATAATAAAATTTAAAAAGCTCAAGAAAATCTAGCTTCTCCCATGGTGTCTACTTTGATGCTTTTTTGAAAATGTGGGAGATCCAAATATTTACAACGTTGGTATTTGTTACCCCTGCCTTGCTGGTGTGTCTGTACCAACACTGCGGAGGGGTCATGGTGACAGTAGTGGAAGTCTGATTTGGCGGTCACATACCTCTCCCTGCCATGCTATTCAGCTAAACATTAGAAATCAGGAGGCTGACCTCACCCTGCCTCCACCAGACACACACTCCTAGGTCAATTCCTGCATATTAAGTGCTTGGAGGAGGCAGTTGAAATGAACAAGCTGAATGGACCCTGGCGCTCTTCCTCCTTGACTGTGGCCTTTGCCCTGCCTTTCCTGGTAGACTCGGTTAAGCTGGGACTTTCAACAACAGATCATCCCCACTTGGCTCCAGCTTTTGAAACCTGGCACTTGTTCTCTACTTACTCCTTTGGCTGAACCCATCCAGCAGGCATTGCATTCCCCCATCAACCTGGTCTCATCTTTAGCTTACCCCACTAGCCCAGCCAGCTCTAGCTCAGTAGACACGTTCAGGACACAGCAACCCAAGAAAATGGACTTTCAGAGGTTGTAGCACTTCTGTAACACTTCAACTTGTTATTCAGCCCACACCGGATGGAGGGTGGGGGGGCAGGGCCTGGGCCAAGGCCAGGCAGCAGTAATAGGAGATCAGACATCAGACTCCATGAGAGCCTGAGAGGCTGCGTCACATCAGCCAGTAGCTGGCCTTCCCGCACGTGGACAATGTGTATTCTTCAGGGTGTGGGTGTGGGTGTGGGTGCCCAAGATGTCCAGTCCAGGGTGAAATTAAATCAGAAACCAGAGTATCTAGCCAGATATTGACAACACAACTAGAGAGCTAGGTACCAGACAGCTCAGGCAAAGCCTGTTGTCCACTTTTAGTACATGTGCTGCTGAAGCAAGCATATATAGTCCATTTGTATTGCAGATCTTTATGATGCCTTAGGGGGCATCAGAAGGCATCCTCCACATAGTATTTACCAGGGAGGGGAATACTGCACTAAGACCCACAATGTTGGAAAGGCTAAATAAAATATAAAATTAGTTCCAGGGTTCAACAGGGCTTATAACTTTATCATTCATTGTTTCAGTAAATATTTCAAACCTTGTCCTGAAAAGAAAAAAGCTAGAATTATATATCAAATCTTTAGGGTAGCAATAATCTCTCCAGCTTGAGTCTTTCTGGTCTACTTTTAAATGTTTCTCTCACAACTTGGTTTGGAGATCCGATCTTAGTCAGGGATTCCCTCTCCTCCCTGTCTCCACACCCACCCTCCCCGCATGCCAACATTAAAAAGTGTGCCAAGATCTGGAGCAGACCAGTCAGGGTAGCTTCCCGAGCTCCTAGGGGCAGTCAGACCATAAGCTAAAGAAACCATGAGTTTTCCTATAGTCCACTGGGCTCCAAGTTGGGGGAACAGAATTCTGTTGGACAATTCCAACTAGCATGACTAGACCCAGGACCAGAGGACAAAGCCAGAATGACCTACCCCAAGGAGACCCTGTACAGGAAACTAAGGGGAAGAATGTCCTTCCTGGCTCACTGGCCACTGGTGACCTGGTGGCGCTCATGGAAAGACTCAGGGTCAGGATGGACAGAGGCATCTTGAAAAGTCTTACCCACTGCTCTTTGTCCACAGAGCCAGATGTTACCTACGAGTGTCAGTTAAAGAAATTCTAAATATCTGATAATTTTTTACTTCTCTCACTGCTTCATTCTGCTATCTTATCCTTGAGAATCTCTAAGCTCTGTATTATGCTGGGCCAAAGAGGACTACCTCCTCTCCAGATACTCTCCAGAGCATCTCTGGGAAGTGGCTCCCACCCCCACCCAGGGACTACATTTCTCGGACCCATTTGCAGTCAGATGTGACCGTGTGATAGAGTTTTAGTCAACCGAATGTGAGTAGAAGTGATGTGCATCACATCTAGGCATGGCCCATGAAAACCTCCCGTGTGCACTTTTTCATGCTTTTTTCCTCTTCTACTGAGAAATGGAAATAGTCCCACATGACCTTGAAAACCACATGCTGAAGAAGGTGGGGCCCCTCTCCATCTCTGTCTCTGACTGTACGAGAGAGAGATGCCCCACTAACTTGCAGTGGCACATGAACAAGAAATAAACTTCTCATATTAGCATAACCAATGGACATGGACACTGGGGCGGTGGAGCTTGTCCTGGGGGGCGGGAGTGGCGGGAGAGGGTCAATCAGGGAAAAAGGAGACCTATGTAATACTTTAAAAAAGAAAAGAAAAGAAGAAAAAAAAGAGAAATAAACTTCTATTAGAGCCATTAAACATTTTTCGGTCTATTACAGAAATTAGCCTATTCTAATTATTACATATTCTTTTTATTTTCTTCTTCTTCTTTTTTTCTTTTTGGTTAATCTTCACCAGAGGATATTTGTTTCCCATTGATTTTTAGAGAGAGAGAAGGGAGGGAGGGATGGGGAAAGAGAGAGACACATTGATTGGTTGCCCCCTGACTAGACTGGGGATGGAACCAGCCACCCAGGTACAGGCCCTTGATCAGGAATTGAACCTGTGACCCCTTTGGTGCCCAGGCCAAAGATCTAACCATTGAGCACATCAGCCATGGCTACATATCCTTTTTGATACTCAGCTGTTATCATTGTGTGCAGAAGTCCCCATGCCTTCTCCCTTTACCCTGAATTTCACTGCAAACCAAAAGAACCGAATTAGTAAACTTAATTTAAGTAGCCATTAGATATAAATGACACTCACCAAGTTGGTGGTCACAGTATTCAGATCTTGTAGCCAGATGAACAGTAGTTTAGCAAAGCCTCAACTTCAAGACAACCTGATATATTAAAATGAAACAAAAAGTAAAATGTAAGATCTACAGAACAGATATATTAGAGTGTAATGGTTAATTCCTAAAGGGAATTGCCAGTTTCCAAAGGAATTCACCACTGTTTTGCAGTAAATGACAAGCTTCCCCATTGCTTTTAAAATAAAATTCATTTTTAATATACCCTCCACACACCAATCATTATAAAACATAATTTATTTATTTATTTTTATTGATTTCAGAGAGGAAGGGAGAGATAGAAACATCAATGATGAGAGAATCATTGATCAGCTGCCTCCTGCACACCCCACACTGGGGATGGAGCCCACAACCCAGGCATGTGCCCTTGGCCGGAATCGAACCCGGGACCCCTCAATCCGCAGGCCGATGCTCTATCCACTGAGCCAAACTGGCTAGGGCTAAAACAGAATTTATAAAGAACAAGTCTACTAAGCCAAGTAAGCTATACAAAGAGTAGATGCTGACTAAGGAAATGATTTTGGAAGCTAGGAAAACTAGGTATGATTTCCAAGCCTACATGCTCTGCAGTTCTTTTATACACATTAAGACTTTTCTCTCAGGAACTTACCTTTCCTGGGTAGGAGCTTTCAGAGCTTGTAAAATTATAGGCTATGCAAAGGCTTAATATTTTTATAGGTGAAGTTAAAGCAGACTCTAGGGATACATTATAGTGTCTTTGTGTTTTATATCACCCTAGGTGGCACAAGAAAATAAGCTCTGTGTAAACAGGGCAATGTGACATGGAGGTGCCCGCACCAGGACAACCAGGGACAACCAGGGACAAACAGAGACATGCTCTGTAAAGGCGGCAGGTTGGGGATGTTTTCTTATCAGAGCTGCCATCTTTTACCAGGTTAAGTGCGAAAATATCATTTGACGGCACAGGGCACATATTTGCCTAGAACAAGGTTTATTTTTGTATACGATTACTCAGTATAAGCTCCAGGAAGCAAACAGTTCAGAACTCTGAACAAACACTCTGGCAGTCCAACACAGAGCGCCAGGGCGGGCGGGAGGAGGAAGAGGAGACAAAACAAGAGTGGTGACAGGGAAGGCTCAGCTTGGGCCATTTCCCCCAGGGTTTCAGTCTTAGTGTATAGAAATATTTTTGAGAGGAAATGTGTCCTTGTCTGGGCCTGTGGAGAAGAGAGAGATTAGATCGGTCCCTTCAGTGCTGTATTTGGAGGGTCCCCACTCACCCCTCTGGCCTGGGCCTGCTGAGCCTTAGGTGTCAGGGAACAAGATGGCACCCACGTGAAGGTGCCCACGTGAGGGGCGCGGAGTGAGGGGGCCCAGGCGGGCCTTCACTTACTCGGAGGTGCTGTCTCTTCTGAAACCCAGATGCTGCCAACTCCCTGGGCTCAGGAGTGAGAACCGCTTTCTTGCTCTGGGTTCTTCACTTCTCGTCGAAATCAGCTCCACATATTTTTCTCATGACGTCAACCATTCTGACTCCTTACGTTCTGAAAGTTGATCTACAAGTAAAACCTTCCATGAGGCTTTAAAAAATACATATAAAAAAGAAAAGAAAAGTGTGCTGTGGGGAGATGGCGAGGAGCAGAGAGGCAGTGCCTCCTGATTTTGAGGTTTGCTGCAGCTGCGAATGCCACTCCCCAGGCAGTTTCCTGGCTGCAGAGGGAGGCCAGTGGCCGGCGTGGGTGACGTCAGGGCCAGGCCTGAGTCATCACCAGAGGCCGGGCTGCCCTGCCACTCGGAAGGGGACAAAAGGAACCTTTGATGTCCAGGGCCCTCCTCTCGCTGTACTGAGCAGCAGGCTAGAACATTCCAGCCGCTTCCCCACCCCCGGCCACCCTTCCTCCTTCCGGAACAGTACCAGGCAACTCAGCAAGGCCTCCCCAAGGGATGCCGCCCTCCTGCGTGGCAGAGGCATGGCCGCTCTCTGTCAGAGAGCAGCAAGGGAGAGTGTTTCTCTGAGGATTCTCACCTCCCCCGCTTCCTGGTGGCGCTCACTCACCCAGGGAGTTGCCGGGGTATTAAAGGAGACGTGCCAATGTAGAGGACGGTCCTGTTGCTCTCCCTGGGCAGTGCCCAGGGGTCAGTGTCTATTCCTGTCTGCTTGTGTGCGATGGTCCTGGGCTTCCGTTCTCTGCTCTCTGGGTGCCGGTGTGAGCTGGCACTTCCTGGATTTAAGAGGGAACCGCTCTTTAGGAGGGGTATTTATATCCCAGGGCCCGGTGCGGGGCTCAGTAAGTACATGATGAGTGAATGGGCGATTATTTTAAAACGTACTAGTACAGAACATATATGGAATACTTACGGTGAATGAGCTTTTGTGCCAGGTACTTCATAAAGATTATTTCATTTATTACCCTGTTATCATTTCCCGTTCTCTAGCTGAGAAAGTGAATGCTCAGAGAGACGCAGACATGTCTCTGAAGCCTCACAGCTGGTGAGTGGCAGAGCCTGGATGGTCTGGTCCCAAATCCTGTGCTCTTAATCACTATGCTGAGTGGCTGGAGTGAGTGAATGAAGAATGACCAAGGGCAGCCTGTCCAGGTGAGGGGGTAGCAAAGGTAACGATGGGGCTTAAAACCAAATTCTTCAAACACTAGTGGAGCAATTAGGGATGACCTCTCTCGGGTAGAAGGCGTCATGCCCTCTCCATAGGTCAACACCGGGTCTGAGGGTCGGTGGGATACCCACAGTGACAGGAGGGTCCAAGAGGGGGTGAGAAGCTAGCATGAGAACAGAAAGCCAGGCAGGTCTGGTGGCATGTGGTGGATGAGGAGTCACAGTGGACAGAGTCCCTCAGAGGTGTGGCTGGAGGGTCTGTGCAGCTCAAGGCACAAGTTTGGGGCAGGCCCAAAACTACATGATAGCTCTCTGAAAGCCTGAAAATGAGAGAGAAACGGAACAATGATGTGGCTTCAAAGTGTGAGGTGGGGCTGGAAGTGACAGGGAGCAAGACGGGACCTGACATAACAGCTACTGTCCTTAACACCGTCCTACCAGGACTCAGCTGCCTCTCTGGGACTGGGTGAGCGTGCTGTCAGTGGTGGTGCTCAAGTCCAGGCGAGGACGGGTGGCTTCGGTGGTACCTTCTCCCTCTGTGGTTTATGATTCTGTGGTCTGTACTTTTCCACAATTCTTCTAGGAAAAACCAGAAGTCACAGCCCCTTACAGAAGGGGGTAGGGAATTGGTGGCCTCAGTAATGTCACGCCATAGCTTTCCTTCCCACAGGGGGGCCGATGGCTGGTCACAGGACCCCTCTCCTTGGCTCAGGAAATGGATGCAGTTACCTTGTTCTGGGAGCTCTGCTGGTTGCCACGCTGAGGAATTAAACTTGTGCTATGGGGCCAGACTCCCCAGCAGGTGGAATCAGCAGAGGTGAATTTCCGAAGGGAGAAATTCACCACCATTTAATCAAGAGAGTAGCAACAACTGACCAGGGTCACTGTCAACATGCACACAGAGCCTGACCTTGGGCTGAGCTGAGGAAAGCGCTTTAAGTTCCAGGCATTTTTGGCAGAAGGACTTGTTTATTCTTCTCTACTCTCTCTGCAGAAAATGCCTATGGGCACCTCTCTACTCTGTTTCCTCAAAGACTCAGTGGCCTTGCTTGCTTCACATACACAGGTATTTATTCCTTTAAATGAACAGAGGCTTATTTTTTTTTTTAGCCTCTCTTGTGGGACCAGGATAACATGAAGAGAAGAAGAAAGGAGAGAAGAAATGACGAGTGAAAGATTAAGTGAGACATAGATCCTCGAACTGCATGCTCTGGGGTTGGTTCGAACAGAGGATAAAAATCAAAGAACTGGACAAAACATCTCTTTGAGGACACAGAGGAGTAAGTGATGACACCCTTAACCTCTACTCTGTCTGGAGAACCCACCTCCTTGGTTATAAAAATGAAGTTCTACCGGTAATTATAAAAATAAAATGTTTACAAGTTCAAGGAATTCCTTGGAAGACTTGTTTATACTTGCTGCCCCCAATTTCTCTCATTTCATTCACTTAAAAAACACACACAATTTGCTAAGATATCATTTACACACCATGAAATTAACCCATTTAAAATGTGTCATTCAATGGATTTTAGTATACGTATTTACAGAATTGTGTGACCTGTAATCTAATTTTAGAACATTTTTATCACCCCAAAAAGAAACCTTGTACCCATTATCAGTCATGCCTCCTTTGCCTCCACCCCCAGCCTTAAGTAAACATTAATTTTCTTTCTGTCTCTATAGATTTGCCTCTTCTGGACATTTCATATAAATGGATTCATACAATATTGTCTTTTATGTCTGGCTACTTTCACTTAGCATAATGTTATCCAGGTTCATTCATATAGATGGTATCAGTATTTCATTCCTCTTTATGCCTGCATAATATTCCATTGTGTGGATATACCACATTTTGTTTATTCATACACTGATAAACATTAAAGTTGTTTTCATTTTTGGCAGTTATGAATAATATTGCCACAAATGTTTGAGTACAAGTATTTATAAGGACATATGTGTTCATGTCTCTTGGGTAGATACCAACGAATAGAATTGCTGGGTTATAAGGTAACTAACTCTATGTTTAACATTTTGAGGAAATGACAAACTGTTTCCCTAAGTGCTGCATCATTTTATATTCCCATTAGTGATGTGTGAGAGTTCTGATTTCTCTACATCCTCACCAAAAATTATTTTTTTAAAGTATAGTTGACATACAATATTATATTAATTTCAGGTATACAACATAGTGATTTGACATTTATATACCTTGTGATGTGATCACCACAATAAGTCTAATAACCATCTGTACCTTACAAAGTTATGATACCATGGCCTATTTTCCCTATGCTAAACATTACATTCACATGACTTATTTATTTTATAACTGGAATTTTGTACCTCTTATTCCTCTTTACATTTTTCACCTATCCCTCCATGCCCCTCCCCTCACCTATACTCTGATTGTCTATCGTTTCTATTCTAGCCATCCTAGTGGGTATGATGTGGTATCTCATTTTGACTTTGATTTGCATTTCCATGATGACTAATGATCTCAAGAGCTTCTTTTCATAAACTTATTGGCTTATAATTTAAATTTTTACATGAAAAAAAAAAATCAAGTTAGAAGTCTATTTTTTTAAAAAAATATATTTTATTGATTTTTTACAGAGAGGAATGGAGAGAGATAGAGAGTTAGAAACATCGATGAGAGAGAAACATCGATCAGCTGCCTCCTGCACATCTCCTACTGGGGATATGCCTGCAACCAAGGCACACGCCCTTGACCGGAATCGAACCTGGGACCCTTCGGTCCGCAGACCGACGCTCTATCCACTGAGCCAAACCGGTTTCGGCTCCTTTGTCTATTTTTAAATTGGATTATTTGTCTTCTTATTTTTTGACTTGTAGGGATTCTTCATATATTCCAGATATACGTACATATGCTTTGTAAATATTATCTCCCTGCCTGTGGGTTACCATTTCACTTTCTTTATGGTATTCTTTGAAGTAGAAAAGTTTTTCATTTTGACGAAGTCTAACTTATCAATCTTCTCTTTTACCACTTGTGCTTTTGGCATCATATCTGAGAAACCATTGTCTAACCCAGGGGTGGGCAAACTTTTTGACTCGAGGGCCACAATAGGTTCTTAAACTGGACCGGAGGGCCGAAATATGCTTTGTAAATATTATCTCCCTGCCTGTGGGTTACCATTTCACTTTCTTTATGGTATTCTTTGAAGTAGAAAAGTTTTTCATTTTGACGAAGTCTAACTTATCAATCTTCTCTTTTACCACTTGTGCTTTTGGCGTCATATCTGAGAAACCATTGTCTAACCCAAGGTCGTAAAGAATTACACCTGAGTTTTCTTCTAAGAGTTTTATAGTTTTAGTTCTTACATTTAGGTGTGTGATCCACTTTAAGGTAATTTTTATGGTGTATGGTAGGAATTCAAATTATTCTTATCATGTGGATATCCAGTTGTCCCAAAAGCATTTGTTGAAAAAACTATTCTCACAACAATTCTGTACATCTAAAACTGTTCTAAAATTAAAAGTTTATTTAAAAAACAATACAGGGTGCTCCCATATATACACACTTTAATAGCTGATAACTCAGTTGATGTTTCTTTCTTTTCAGCCATACTACGCTTTGAACAAAGGAAATTCATCCTAAAATGCTACTGGAAAATTGAAAACGCAGTTGAAGTACCAACACTGCCTTTATAATTATTTTGAGACACCCTCTGTCAGCTGATAACTCACTTAATTTTCACTCCTTTTCAGGTTTAACTGACTTCAAATAATGGGTGAAGCCAGACTAAGCTCTGAACAAAGAAAATTTATCCACTAGACTTTTTTTATGGAGATACATAAAAGATAAAGTTTACAGTACAAAACCAGCAACAGTTGACAAATTGAGGGCGTGGAAATACCAAACGAAATGATTCTTGATGTTTTTCAATTCCATTGCTTCATGTTATTAGCAGTGCCTGGACCAGAAGAGTCATCAGTTTGAAAACAGACATTGACCAAAAATTTTTTTTTAATTTCTGCAGATTATTTTAGATTTTGAAAAGAAACTGTATGTTAATAAACACTGACTTTATAATCAAAGTG